GATAATCGAGTCATGGGTTTGAAGCCTAGGAAGAGGAATAGATCCAGGTACTGACGGATATCGTTAGTTAGGGACACCATGCCTAACGATAATTCACCAAAAACACGAGAGCAAGAAAGGTGGCTGGCTTCAAGCTTACTTCCTTCATAAATTCCAATTTGGTCCACTCATGTATCTCATGTTTTGGTTGGATGCCCTATGCTTTGGCCTCATATTTGCTCATAAGTCAAGTTAATTGGCTGCGGATGACATATGAAGTAGCTACAGATGAAGCGTGAAATGATTGCAATTGAAGCCGAACAGCTGCATCCTCCCTAAAAATACCTATGCATTCGATCCTGGAATGTTACCGCATGTGATTGCGTCCCATTGATCTGGTTGTGAAAGTGCATTGCTCTTGAAGTGAGACTCAAAACCAGTTTTCAAACTAATTTAGTCTCCTTCTCTTGCTCTGTGGTACTTCTCGTGCTCCTCCCAGCTCCCTCTCTAAACCTATCCAACAGCCACAAGTAGTTTCCGCTTAACTTCGTACACTCATTCCTCCTATTGTTTTAATGATTTCTACCGCTTCTAACCTTTCGCTTACTGGTTGTTATAGTACTCATATCTAGCTAAGCGTTTGGCATTAGACCAATCTGTCTCGTGTCCTGTGCGAGACATGTGTTCGGCCAATACCGTTTTTTGGACCCACATACCCTTGCATACTGTTTCGTGTTCGGATAACCTCATATGTATGGGCCTACAGGTCTCTCCCACATAGGCACTACCACATGAACACAAAATCTTGTAACAGCCCAATCTGGAGAACAGGTCAGAGTATTATCGAAAAGAAGGCTACATCGAGGACAGTATTATTTTCCACAATTTGTTTAACCTTATTCTCGCAACTTGGTCATATTGGTAGAAAGACATATAGGAAAGCATCTGGTCCGGAGTCTATCGTATGCATGATAATTTCAGTAGGACCGTGGACGTGGTACATTCCCAGACGTTTTATCTGCATCGTCAGTGAATCTTGCAAATCTTGGTACAGCACTACAACTCGTCAAAGAGACAATTGAAACCGATCCATTGGCCAATTGCTTGATAAACAATTGGCATCTCTCATTCTCCCCTGGGCTATTCATCAATCTACACATGTTGTGGTTCCAGTTGTTTTGATTAGATTCAATGTAGAACCTCAACGTTTGTGGGTTGGCACACAAGAGACTAGGGCATAGAAAGTCATAGACTTGGTATCATTGATAGAAACAGGATAGATGCGGCGGAGACTAGAGCTAGTTAGCTAACAGTAGATGTATTTGATCATAGACGTGGCCCATAAAACAAAGACTTGACCATTATAATTACTCGGACTCTTTAGCCTCAAATTATACTTCCATCCAGCCCGATAATCCTGATTTTTAGGGGTCTACTCAGCGAGGAGGGAGTATGCCTGTCATTAAAGGCTTGAGACAGTGTAGGAAATAATGCTTCGAGTAGTACTCACAGGGTGGCAGGGTCCGAGTGAAATACCTGATTCAGGAAGGTAGGAGGCATTTCCTACTGGGCAAACAGGAGACTCTAATTAAGACTTACGGGGAGAAGACCGTGAAACAATATGGGAAACTCTGATCAACATTCCTATAAAAAAATGAAGGGGTGAGAAAGGCCACGTGCGGTGTGGAGAGTTCTGGTGAAATCCACTCATAAGGGTCCACCATGCCACATTTAAATAAGAAACAGTGATAGTTATACGAGTATATAGGATTGATGAATAGCCCAGGACAGAAGGATAGACCACAAATGTTTAGTAGATAATTGGGCAAAGGATCGGCTTTATTGTTCTTTTTGACGAGTTCGTAGCTTGGTGCCGAGAATGGCAAGACTCACTGATGATGTCGACTACGATGCCGGCGAAGCATCTGAGAATGTACCAAGTCCACGATCTGGTGCTGGGAATTATGATAATTACTATGGTAGAGGACTTCGGACAAGGTGCGCTCTACTAAGTCCCCCTGATAACAAGACCAAGTTAAGACGAGATCAATCTACTTCTACGTTATATTAAACTCATCAGCCAAAAGAGAGGTACGAGATTACGCAGCCCCAGTCATGCCTTTTCTTGAATTGTTAAATATTAATGACCCTAGACTGAGAGGTTAGTAGAGGTGATTTCGTAACCTGGCTTACATCTTATTATCTCAACCATATTTGCTTACGGATTTACGCAGTCTCGGTCAGGAATTTTGCTTGGGTCATTAAGCCTTGATGACCAAAGCATGAAATTAGTCTATTTTGATTACTCTGATTTAGGACCGTTTTTGCCTACAAACTTTAATATACACACACACTCGAGCAAAAGTAGTAGGGTCAGTATGAAATATAATTAGTCAAACCATCCTAAACCTATCTATATCTATACCTTTTCCTTTTTATTAATGAGTATATATAAGAGGTAAAATAGAGCCGGATAGTCTTCTTGACCTAGTGTTAACGTGATACTTTTACAAGAATGAGTTCCAGCTCTGATGATGTCAATCATATGATCTGCGAAGAAAAGTTGGATTTCGAGGAATTCCTTGTTTTATAATTGTTGAGCTTACTTCTATTTCGAGTCAACGTGTTTTATGAAGAGATTCGAAGGTCGATTCCTCCAAAAGTCAAGAAAACTCGTTAGCTTGAATTTGGTTGTAGGAATGATACCTTGCTCTGATGATGTTCGTCATATGACGGACGAAAGGGTAGCATGTTTTCACCGAAATCAAAAGAGATTACCTCGGAAACAGCGTCAACATGAATATTCCAGTAAATCCAATCGACAACTGGTCAGGAGGAATTCGCCGTCGTCTTCTAATGGAATCGACTTTCGAATCTATTCACTAAACACTTTCATTCGAAATGGAAGTAAGCTCAATATACATTTTATGGACAAAAGTTCAGCTCGTTTTCACCTGAAGCGAGGGAGGATGTCTCGTGGACTGCGTCAACCTGAATGTAGTATTACAGTCAAATGGCTACAATACAAAGAAATTCAGCCGTCCTCTTATGGTGATATCAACTTACGAATCTCTTCTCCATGCACTTTAATACGAAATGAAGGTCTTCTCAACATGGAAATCGAAGGCAGAAAGATGAATACGACATACCATGAAAATCATCTTCTAGGCCGTTAATCAGAGCTCCGGTAGCACCACTTGTCAAAAGACGAGTGTTGGCTGAAGCATCATCTGTGAAGTTGGACGTTCCCTGAAGTGAGCTAGCAACTGGACCAACGCAGCCTACACCAAACCCACCAAGACTAGGAGATGGATGAGATACGGAACTTTGGCTGAGCTGAAGACGGCGGACACGGGACTCCTTCATCACAATCTTCTCTAGGGTTAGTAGCAAGCTATCCTCACTGACTGACTGAACCAGGGCCACAAATGAAAGAATAAAATGAGTTCAGAGGCAGACAAGATAATAGTTGTAAATAGTTAAGACTTAGCTAAGAGTAATTTATGCAAAAACTCTTTTAAGGAACTCCTTTACAAAATGTATTTTTCTCTATGGTATAACGTGAAAGTGGTTGCTTTATATTTTGAGCGTAGCTAAAAAAAGATACTCTGAGCTTAAATAAGATTAATTTTGAATAGTAAAAGAGTGCAAGGTCAAAATGCAATAAAAAGATTAGATGATATGCAGAAGCAAACCACAAGTAAATCTGTAGACAAGTTATAAGATATAGGATAGGCTAATACACCAGGACAGGATAGATACCACAACTATTTAACAGACAATTGATCAGTGAGTTGACATGTCTCCTTGATGAATTGTGTTATGGTGCTAAGAATGGCAAGGTTTACTGATGATGCCGGCGAAGTGCCTGGGAATGTACCAAGTCTGCATTCCGACTGGAAATTAGCATGTATACTATGAACTTTGGGCAAGCTGCGTTCCTTTAGGGCTTCCTGACAATATGACCAAGTTGCGAAAACAAGGTCAGACAACTTCTATAAAACGAAAGGAGACCCCGACCATACTAAAAGCTCCACTATATTGGTCTTCATACCCGTGATTAAACAGGGAAATAGTTGAGTTTTCCTACATTGAGATGCCTCTCAAAGGCTTATCTCATTCATGATGGACTGCAGTTTTGGCTTCATCTAGGTCTCATCCGTACCCCCAGAGGAATTCGACAGTGTCGTGAGTACAGTGGCAATATTGCCACTCCACTGCATTGCTTTTGCGGTCACTGGGTCGCAGGGCAGATAGGTCATTCAAGGAAGGCCAGGCCTCTCTCAATGTACACTTTAATAATGGGATTGATTATTAAGCAAAAATATATTTGCCATTTCAATGGAAGACATTACTTATTTCTGATGTGAGAAGTTTTCGAGAATATCAGTAGGTCTTGAATGTAAAGTTAGTCACTCTAGATAATCGATTTAAACGGCAAATAACTATTTGCTTGATTGGCAATCACAATAATAAAATATAAATGTGAGAAGCCTGGCTTACCTTGAATCTGATCCACTGACACCATTTCATGTGTAGTGGAGTGATAATGTTGCCATGCTAATTACGACCCGGTGTCGAAATTGCAGTTCACTCTCGACGAATTAATCTCTGGACAGGTATCGCATTCCAGGAAATCTCACCTATCGGCCCATAGATCAACTAAGATGACCCAGTTCAAATAAAAAAATTTATTGATAGTATCTAAAACTAATTAAATCGAATAAAATTGCGAGACTCCCAAGAAGTATCTATTAATTTGATTAAATTTCTAATCAAGGAAAATTATGCTAAAATGCATGCTTTGAAATTCACATTACGAAAAATCTTGTCTAACAATTTTAGTCCAGAGGACTTCTCTTAGTTAAATTGGCGGATAGGTTGTAGAATAAATTTTTTTCAAATTGTTTGAAACAGGCATTATCAAAAATATAAAGAATCTTGATATAATAATTGAGACAAGGAGATATTAGGTTAGAGCAAAAGATGAGGCTGTAGTTAGTGAGGTTTTTTTCTAAAGATTATAACTTTAATCGAAGGTATGAAGACCAAGATGGTGTGGCCTTTCGTGTGGTCGCAGTCTCCTTTCGTTTGACCCTGTTTTCGCAACTCGGTCATATTAGTAGGAAGACTTAGAGGGACGCACCTAGTCCGGAGTCCATTGTATGCATCATCATTTCCAGAGTAGGACCGTGGACGTGGTGCATTCCCAGACGTTTCGCCGGCATCATAAGTGAGTATCGCCATTCGTAGCACCATATTAAAACTCGTCAGAGACAAGTGAAGCCAATCCTTTGACCAAACGTGGTCAAAGGATTGGTTGTGGTATCTTCCCTTCTACCCTGGGCTATTCACATTTCCTATATCGTCCTATCATGCCTTCCCTGTCACAATTTTTACCGTGCTTATTTTTAATGTAGTGTGGTGTGCTCCTTCGAAGGGCATTCATGAAAATCATTCACACTCCACACTGTCGTTATCACCCCCTTCACTCTTGTGCCGGGAATGTTGACCAGAGTCTGTCATATTGTTACGTAGTCCTTCCCTTGGTCCTATCAAAGTCTCCCTCTT